CTATTAAACTGTAAGCAATTTAGTATTAGACGTCGACAGTTGGACAGTAATGCAAAATATGTAATAAACTTACAAAGTAACCCTTAAATAAATAATTCATGCAGATAAAACTTGGACAGAATCTTGCGATATTATTTGTACCTGAACTAGCCATATAGGAACTAGAGATAAACAAACAAAAATGAAAACACACAAAAAATATAGGCCTACATCTTGTAAATTTTCACGGCGTTCTTAAAATCGTTAATATTATATACGGTACACGTTTGAAAGAGTTCAATTATATACGGTACACGTTTGAAAGAGTTCAAAATGTATTGTAATAGTCAATTATTAATTTCGTTTAATAAAAGAAAAGATTTTATTCACATCATGAAATCATGATTATTAAATGAAATGTATAAAAAATAATACCGACGCCTTATAAGCCTTTCCTCTAGGTATCATCACTGAGTATCTTCGTTTAAACTTGAACCGTAGGCCGATATATTTACCTTCCATAAGCATCCCGGTATCTCATTGATAGCTAAGAAAACTAAATTAAATGGAAAAATTGTAACACCACAATAGCAACAGACTCTTGTCAATTAAACAGACCACGTGGCTTATAGCAACTGAAAGACAATTAAAGATAATGAATAATCATTTATTGATAACTTTATTTCACTTATCTCTTTATTATCAATAATATTAGGTAGACATCCTTCAAATTTTCAGTTAATTCAATAACTAGCAAAAGAACACTGTCTGTAATTCATGTTCTTTCAAGGGACTATAACGTGCCCGTGAGTATCAACAATGGACCCCACCCCGACATGTGATGTAGGCGTGGACGTAATGAGAACCGGACCCGTGATGTGATTATAGACGTGATGGGACCAGAGACCCGTGACGTGAGTATAGACGTTATGGGACCTAGACCCGTGGCGTTAGTATGGACGTGATGTGAACCTGGACCTGTGGCGTGAGTAGATGTAAAGGGACAAGGAACTGCGAGGTGATTACAGACGAGATGAGACCCGGACCTGTGACGTTAGCATGGACGTGATAGGACCCTGAACCTGTGACGTGAGTATGGACGTGATTGGACCCTGAACATGTGACGTGAGTATGGACGTGATGGGACTCTGTACCTGTGACGTGAGTATGGATCCTGGAACTGTGACGCGAGTATGGACGTGGTGAGATCCGAATCTGTGACGTGATTATAGAATGGGATCCGGACATGTGACGTGACGTAATGGACGTAATGATAGGACCTGGCGTGAGTATAGACATAATAGAATTCGGACATGTGAGTATCGAGGTAATGGACCCGGACACATGAGTATTGACGTAGAGCCTTGTTTTAGGTTCCATTTTTATTATATTTTTGTTAATATATTTTGAGATCAGATCAACAGACTAATGGGGATAACCTCTACCAGGAGAAGTCACCAGTGGCGCCAGGATTTGTCATACGGGTTTGTACGGGCCTCGGCGGCGGTGTTTCTAAGTGGACACTGGACATTCCCTTTACCCAACGAGTCGACGTAACCGAGCTTAATTTTTATAAATGTATATATATATATATATATCCATGGTTCAACCACTTGTTCCTTTTATTCTTGTTATTTCTGAACACGCCTTAAAAAGCACAAATCGACTAAACAATAGAAATCACATCAATGAAGGCTATTTAGTTCTTAAAATCTTTGTTAGTTTTATTCTAAATTCAACATTTCGTTTGTAAGATTTTTAAAATGGATTGTAGGCCTATTCTTAAAAAAAAAAAAAAAAAAAACATTTATTGTCTCTTCAGGCCCCGACCTAAACGTTACTGCCACACCCAAACTGTATTTTCCTACTGTTTACGTATACGTTAACCGCAGTGGGATAGCTGGCGTCAATAAGTGGAAGAGGGCAGTGGGGCTCCCGACGGGAAGAGGTCATAAATCATCGGGGCTCAACACAATTTTTCGACAGACCGAAATATTGTAAACTTATTAGGATAGGAAACTCATCTTATTGACTTATGAAATTACATTGCCGCCGAAAAGGGAGGGAGAGCCACCCCTACCCCTTTAAAAATATGTTGAAGAGACGTGCCCCGCGTCCATCTGCGCGTCCATCCTAACTCTGTATTATTCAATAGCGGCATTATAGAAGAGAGCTGGGGTGTTAGCCCTAATTTTATTCAAGTCACGCGGAATGAGCGATTATACAAATATTTACTGTGTTGAGGGGCATAGTCCGAAAGAGCCAACCATTGTTCAACACCTTGTTACCAGTAGGAAAGCCACTGGAAAAATCGTGTCAAATTTCGCCTAGGAGAGGGCGTCCTATTTTTCGAAATTAGTTCAAATTTTCAGAATTTGATGGTGTTTGAAAAAACGTTAATTCATCAACCGAAAGGTCCCCTGATTAATCTCAGATAAGAAAGTATAATACATACTCCAAGTATTGAAATACACGCCATCGTGTTGGGATTCAATATTTCGACATTAATTATGTCATCATCAGGTTAATTCATCAAGTAACTTACTTAACAAAACAAACATAATAGTGAAATAAGTTTATAAATAGTTTAACAATATAGTGAAATATTTTTGGTGTATTTGGACCGAAACCATAAAGAGTAATTTAATAGCTGGCTAGCTAGCTAGGCTGGTAATATCAGTATGATTATAGAAATTAGATGGAAATAAATACAGTAGTACACATGGTCTATCCTAAACTAACAAAGCATCAGTCTGCCTTCACTGTCAGACGCCTACTCTAATGATGATGATAATGATGACGACGATGATAATGTTGATAATGATAATTAACATTCATGAGAAACCTGGTTCATTTTAACTTAATTTTAAGGTATAAACAATGTCATGTGGAAGCAAACAAACAATTTATTGATAAACATTGCTTGATTGTTATGTCACAGAAACAAATTAGTACAGGCTATAGAGAGAAAGGACTGGCCAGCAGTAACAGACATCCTGGAAAATGAACCGCACCTTAATGAAACTGTGGATTATGTAAGTACTCAGTTGCTACTAAATTTATGATCCACTCCAGATGTGATTTTTAGTAAATTATTCATAAAATATTATATACTATTACCTCGGTCTAACGCTGTCTCTTATACACATCTCTACTGTGTATGTTTCATCAAATATTATAGACATCACATATGCCTATATTACAGCATTAAAATAAATCCTGGCTAGCTAGCTAGGCTGGTAATATCAGTATGATTATAGAAATTAGATGGAAATAAATACAGTAGTACACATGGTCTATCCTAAACTAACAAAGCATCAGTCTGCCTTCACTGTCAGACGCCTACTCCTAGGCTAGTACAACAATGGATCGCCCACGGCTGCAGTCAATAGGGACTTTTAGATTGTGTGGACGTGGACCTGGTTCACGTCGACTAGTCATGCGTGTCAACGTAGTCAACTATTACCTGTTGACTACAAATGAAAACCTTTTAGATTTCAGTCGACATGTAGCGCGCGCTAGGCAACCTTATTAAGCAGCTGTGTCATGGCGAACCTTCATCGACTTCGCGAAATTGTCGTCTTTGCATATTCTACAGGTGTCTTGGACAATGAGGAATTCATGTTTTTATACAATACAAATAAACCCAAAAATGCCGAATTCAGGTACCGAGATTATCAGAAATTTGATCTAGACAACAATTTAAAACAATGATGAATGTAATGCATACTTCAGGGCGCATCCGGTGCGTCAACTGCGATGATGCAGATAGTTAACAGGCCTCCCCGGCCGGCTGCGCTCGCTGCGGTGCGAGTTTGCATTGCATGCACACTGGCGTAAGCACGCTCATGAACTTCCACAGCCTTTTTTGTGTTTACGAAGGCAGTAGAAATTACATAACTGCCTGTGCATTAAAAAGCAAATAATACAGATTAATTCAACACAAGTTAGAAACTTCCCCCAGACTCTGTCTCTGCCTCAGTTGGACGAACTAGTGAAGACAGCATTGCTACTATATTTTCATCTTCCATCTTTAAACTTCACAAGCGAGCACGGCGTCCTAGATTTAGGACGACGGGAAAAACGAGGTGAACACGTTCTCGATTTTGGTAGTGGACGAGGGAGACGACGTAACGCATGCGCAGTGCCTTAAAATGACATCATCACGTAGCAGTCCACTATGTCGACGTGCAAATCTAAAAGTCACTCAGCTACGACTACCGCGTGATCACACATGCTCAAAATATTGCCTAGAATTTTACGGCCTATAAGTATGATTAAAAATTTTTGAACAGATTTGAGACAGGTCTTACCTGACTAAACTAAGATTAAACATGATAAATCAACACTTCAAAAAAATATTGATTCCCCTGTCTCTTATACACATCTAATTGTAAATAAAAGCCTAGTCAAGTCGTACCAGATTTTCACTATTTCATATGCGTCAACTTCAATCGATAAATGCTTTGCGTTAACGTGGGTTTTCCCAAACAACTCCGATTGGTTCCGAAACTAGACTTATTTGGAAATGTTTTTACCATATAAAGAAGCCATGGGCGGGCCTTATTTATTAATGAGAACTATAAATAGAGTTGATGCAATTTTGCTAAGCGACGCTAAAACGTGGTTACGCTTTGAAACGATAGGTGGCGCTGCGCAAAGCAAATGCCGAAGAAAGATCGAAAAATCGCGATATAACGGACAAATCGTCTATCGGCTGTCCTACTGTTACTTCCTCCTTTCTCTCTCATTTCTACGCCACAAAAAGCACAAATCGACACTAACAGTAGACCTCAAATCAGCGAAGACTATTTGGTTCCTAAAATCGACGTAAGTTTTATTTTAAATTTGCTATAATTATAAATGATTGACCATTACATTTGTAAGGTTTTGGAAATGGTTTTCCAAAAGGATTGTAGGCCTACATTAGGAAAAAAAAACCAATTATATATTTTCTGTTCAGGACACGGGCCTGATATCTATACGTTACTGCCACGCCCATACTATATTCATGGACCTATTAATAAGAAGGACCATCGACTCTTACTTTTTACGAATCGGAATGTTAAAGTATCGGTTCATATACGTGAACAGCAGGGATAGCTGGCGTTAAATAAGTGGAAGAGGGTAGTGGTGGCTCCAGCGAGGTGGGTGTGCAGTGTGGTCCCGAGAGAGAGGTCATCAATCCTCGGGGCTCAACACAATTCTTCGACAGACTGAACTTATTAGGATAGGAGAAACTTTCTTTAAATAAACTTCAAATCTCTAAAATGTCGAAGCTTCCAGGAGCCTCGCCCCTGACCAGTGACCTCCTCCAATGGCTTTTCTGGTCGTCCCCTGGCCCCGGTCAATTACACTCTCATTGTTGTCATCGTACTCCCATCTGACATTTTCTGGCGCCACCATTGAGAGAGGGGGAAGATTTCTGTGCGTGGTCTAAATTCGGAGTGGCTGATCAAATGGATTGAATTATTGTTAGTCTGTTCATACAGGATTCATATTTCGATCGACAATAAGTTGTATATTTTATTATTCTAATTTTTGGTAATGATAAATGTATTATTTCTCATGCTTTTGTGCCTTTGTATAGATCGGACGTTTCTCTTGTAAAATGAAACACAAATAAATCATAAATTATATGTTAACATAGCTTAATGAATCTATACTACACATTATTCACAGCGATCCCACTCATCTAGACGTCACAACTATATACGAAAGTAACGAAGCAGTCTGGTGACCATGAAGTATTTATCTAAGAGACAGTGAGTACGCTTCTGTATTATGATACTTTGATAAATTAAGATAAACAAATGAGAGAATTATTTCAAAAGGATCACAATTACTGATAATTAACATTTATGAGAAACCTGGTTCATTTTTACTTAATTTTAAGGTATAAACAATGTCATGTGGAAGCAAACAAACAATTTATTGATAAACATTGCTTGATTGTTATGTCACAGAAACAAATTAGTACAGGCTATAGAGAGAAAGGACTGGCCAGCAGTAACAGACATCCTGGAAAATGAACCGCACCTTAATGAAACTGTGGATTATGTAAGTACTCAGTTGCTACTAAATTTATGATCCACTCCAGATGTGATTTTTAGTAAATTATTCATAAAATATTATATACTATTACCTCGGTCTAACGAATTTCACAAATATATTCCCATAATATTTTTTGCTT